CTGAGCTGGGATTCAGACCTTGGTCTTCAGAGTCATAGGACAATATCACACAACACTGTCAAAGCATTATTATTCCACTTTAACTGTTTTGATTGCCTCCTGTGGAATGGTTTGCAGTTTAAGGAGGGGCATTTAGCATTCTCAGCCAGAGATCTCTTAGGCTTCACTTAATTGCAAACCCCAGAATTCCACAGGAGGCAGCCATAGCAGCTAAAGTGGAATAATAATAACGCAGCTAACAGTGTTGTGTGATACTGTCAATAGACAAGTACTCAAACCACTACACCACACTGGCTCTATTCATGTATTAGTTCCATTTTTATCTTTCCTCCGGTGAGCTAAAAGAAGCCTTCTGTGACTCCCCCCCCTGCTCCATACCTTTCTCCCCACAACAACCCTGTCAAGTAGGTCAGGCTGAGAGATTATGACTGACTCAAGGCCGCTCAATTAATTTCAAGGCTCACTGGTGACATGATCAATCAGTTGGATCTTAAGACTGCAGTTGTTGTGTACCTTCAAGTTGTTTCTGACTTATGGTGACCCTAAGGTGAAGTTACTATAGGCGTTTCTTGGGAACATTTGTTCAAAGATCTGCCTTTACCTTCTTCTGAGGTTGAGAGAGTGTGACTTGCCCAAGGTCATCTAGTGGGTTTCATGGTGTGAGTTACAGTTTTCTAAGTACGAAAGTACCAAATCAAATTAATCAGGGCAAAACAAGTGAAGCAGTCATTTCCAATTTATTAGTTAACATTCTTGCAAGAAGGATGATCTAGGTTAGTAGGCACACCCCCAAATTTGACAGAGCATGGTTTTATTCCCCTCCCTGGCAGTATTTTCCCACCCCCGTAACATTATTGACTGATGTCATTAAACTATATAACAAATCACATATGTCTAAAATGAATATATTATCTCCACCCCTGTTTCTATCTCCCCTCTGCTCAAATTCAGAAGCCCCTCACCTTTATTTACAGATCTCCTTTTAGGGTATATCTTTGGCATGATTTTCAACAAAAGTGAAACTTATACAATTAACCCAACCATGAACTGTAATTTCACCCCAAGCCTCATTATTAACTGTCCATTCTTCCTTTCATGTTTGCATTATCTTTCTTCTACCTCATTAACTACAAAAAGCTTCTCTGCCAAAAGATGACTACCTAATGCGTATTCTACCTGCTCTACGATGTTTGTGTGGAATTCAAAAGATAACATCCTTTTTCATCCAAAGGGGCCCTGGAGCTTAAAACTCCTTACAGGGGATGTGAGTGTGATGTGTATTCCAAAAACCATTGCTGTCTTTTATTTTATGCGGCCTTATCCAAACTCTTCACTTTATTTTCATTAGCTTCACACATATACATATACATTTTTGTGTGTTGTTATCTGCCTTTGCCTCAATCTCGACTCATGGTGACTCTCTGGATGAGACATCTCTAGGCCCCCTTGTCCTCCACTGCTCTGCCCAGCTTCTGCAAACTCATATTCGTGGTCTCTAATAAAGCCCATCCATCTAGCATGTGAATGTGTGTAAGTTATACATATACGTGCATATATCTATATATTTTGTGTGTGTGTTGAATCCAAATTGTCAATTCTGTCACATGGCTGAGCGAGAATTCGATCCCTATTCTCCAGAATCATAGTCCAATGCTCAGAAGAGGCACTAAGAACCATATTGCAAATATATGTTGGATAATGGAGCACATCAAAGAATTTAAAAAGAAATTCAGCCTGTGCTTTATAGATTATAACAAAGCCTTTGACTGTATAGATGGTGTTCTGCTGTTCACACATTTTCAGTAAGGAATTCTGGAGGCAGCTGCTGCTTTATCTTGCCTATTGTGGGAAGGCACACACAGCTGTGGTCAGATCAGCTGAAGGAGAATCCCATTCTCTCAGCTGAAGCTTGACTGCACTGTTTACTGCAGACATAGGACGTTATCACATGCGCAGCAAGTAGCGGCAGCAGCATTCTGGCACGGTTCCGGTCGTGGCAGCTGTAATTCCTTTTTGAAAGAGGAATTACAAAGAACTGGGATGATGCAGTGATGGTGGAGGGATGATGCAGGGATGGGCGTGGTTTTCTGCGACCAAGTCTGATAACTTTGGCAAAGGATCCGGAATGATGCAGCGATGGTGCAGGGATGGGGCTGCTTTAGACCCCGTGTGATAACGTCCAAACTGCTGCAAACCAACACTGAAAGTCTGCGTTTCGCTGCAGCCCTCTGTCACCATCTTCCCAATGCTGATATTGCTAACAAATAACTTCTAGCTGGATACAGGATGAGGAGGAAAAGGGGAGCTGGGTGGCTGTAAAAACACTTTGTAAAAAGGTGCTTCTTGTCATAGGGCCTTTGCAGACTGCCAAAAATAGTGCACATTAAATTGAGGCACTGCCCTGGCTCAGTGCTAGGGAATCATGGGAACTGTAATTTATTGTGGCACCAGAGCTCTCTGACAGAGAAGGCTCAATGTCTCAGAAAAAAATGCAATTCCCATGATTCTCCAGCACTGAGCCAGGGTAGTGCCTCAATTTAATGTGCACTATTTCTGGCAGTCTGCAAAGGCCCATAGACTTTGTTAACTGAAGTATGCCTATATAGTGTGTATGAACCAAATTCAGTAGAGAAGCATTTTCAAACAAGAGAGTTGCTGCCCCAACATTTCCTTGACATAAACATTGGAACACTTTCTTTAAAAGACACTTAATTTTGAACCAGTCTAGGTTCACAGAACCTGGATTGTAGCCTCTCACCATAAGGAAAGCAAGAGGAAACCTGTATGCCCTATGCATATTAGCTGCACTTCTGACTCATTTTGAAGTGCCACTCACTAAGATACATAAATCTAAAGAAGCTATATGTGACGTTTCTGCTACTCTTTTGCAAAATTATTGATAATGGAGAAATACGTAGATCTACATAAGCTACATATGATGTTTCTTATACCTTTTTGCTAACTTGTTGATAATTTCAAGGCTTTCAAATACCTTTATAATTACCAGTATAGCAATTTGTACTCAGGTCCTCCTGCCCGCTTTTGCTCCTCCAGTAGGTATTAATTAGTTGCAGACATAAAAATGTTCAATCACATTGGCACTTGGTTGGCTCTTGAACATGCGAGTTGTGGAATTCACTGAAAGCAGTTTCAGTTTTTCAATAAGAGTAAGGGTTTGGATTGATTTCTCCATTGACGTCAGTGAGTAACTCTCACTGCTGTCCCTGAACCAGGAAAAAAATTAACTAGGGAATGTGGTTATTCCGTCCATACCTTAAATAGGTGTTCAATAACTTGTTCTTGACAACTGCAGATCAAATGAAGGCAAGACTGAGGAGGCTGCTGGGAGAATTTGTCAACTTAGAATTTCTCAGCCTAATCAGTGTTGGACTGGCATCTGTACTGAATCTCCTAAAAAAGATTTGGAAACAAAGAAAACTTACAACTAGTTGTGAAAATAGTATTGTACAAACTACTTACATATTTCTCAATATAATTTGGGCCTGTTGAATATAAGAGTGCAGAACCACCCATATGAATAAGAGGAAAGTGGAGGAAGTAATGTAGTAAAACCAAGAAAGCAAACAAAGCTTCCAGGAGTGGGAGTTTATAGATTGAGTAGGGGACAAAAGCCAGCAGAAGAGGAGCACAAAAGTAAGAAAGCTAAGGAAGACAAACCTAATTACCAAAGTGTTTACTGTCAACAAAATAACAAGGAGATAAAAATATATTAAGCTGGAAATAATAGCCCCTGGAAGGGGGAACCTTCAATAACAGCAGCAATCGTGTTGATTCTGACTAGAAAATGATGCAGAAATTTGAGTACCACATCAACCCCTAGGGAGTCATGACCATTTAACAAAAAGAAAAATCTTAAGAAAACCACAGAAATTCATGCATATTTTTCAGCAGTGATTAAAACAGAAAATCCAGCGCCAGAATCACTTTCCCAAACAAAATTAGAATGGACACTAGATCATTAGACAGTAGATAACAGACTAGATCATTACATCATAGACAAATACTGTTTATTCCATAGAAGACAACAGGGATTAACCTGGATGAGGAGTTTGCATTTGCTGGAAAAAAATGAAGATTACTGCACGATAGGGTGAAAGTAATGGCTCCTTCAAACATCCTATACAAGATGAGCAATGGATTTGAAGAAGTGGTTCCAGAGTAAGTAAGACAATGGATGAGTCAAAGAAATCTGATCCCGTAGCAATAGCTAAGAGTAAGGAACTACAAGCAAACAAGCAATACTTTCTGAATGTAATGGGCTTTTAGCAACCATTGCTGAATCTTTAGTAAAACTGGAATCCAGAATTGATTCGGAGGAGCCAAAGAAAAAGTCAAAGCCAAACCATGAAGCATGTAGAGATTAATTTTTTAAAAATTATTTAAAATTATGGATAAGGAACAAAAGTCTGAAATGTCAGGACACAGAGCAATGGATTCAAACTACAGGAAAAGAGATTCTACCTAAACATTAGGAAAAAACTTCCTGACAGTCAGAGATGTTTGACAGTGAAACACACTCCCTTGGAGAGTGGTGGAGGCTCCTTCTTTTGAGGTTTCTAAACAGAGGCTGGATAGCAATCTGTCAGGGCTGCTTTGATTGTGTTTCCTGCATGGTAAGAATTGGACTGAATGAGTCTCTTCCAACTCTAGGATTCTGATTCTGTGAGATCAAAGAGCATAAATTAAAAGGTCAAAGGCCCACAAAACATAATAAGATGGAGAGACTGGAGCAGAAACATGTAAGGAATACATCTGAAGTTAAACATTCCCTCTTCACATTTTCTGGACACCAAGCAGCAAGAAGAAATTCTGAGTACAGGATCCAAGCGAACCTGCATATAAAGGTGAAATAACTAAAAAGATAAAGAGGTCCTCTCAAGGTGAGGTTTTCTTGGCAAGATTTGTTCAGAGGAGGTTGCCATTGCCTTCATCTGAGGCTGAGAGTGTGTGACTTGCCCAAGGTCACCCAGTGGGTTTCATGGCTGATCTAGGAATTGAACCTTGGTCTCCAGAGACATAGTCCAACACTTAAACCATTAAGTCATGCTGGCCATGATTAAAGCAACATTCCCAAGGGAAACAACTAATGCAGATGTCCCTAGTAATAGAACTCCTCAGTACTTCACTCCAAGAAGTACTTATCGAGGAAAAGGAGTTTCTATTGAGAACCTTCCAGCTCCTCCCACCCATGATTCAAATAGAGATAATTAGAAAGATTGTTCTTGCTATGAGGGATATTATTAAACTTGTGGGATAAGGAAAGAAAAGAAAATTCTTGTTTGGCACTGTGAACACCACGTCACACTACTTGCAACATGACAGCTATAAAATAAAATAAAAAACTTTCTTTCCAAAGTGTAAAGCAAGAGGACCACTGACAGGTTTAGCAGGGTATGGATAAGGTTTAAAGCAGGGATAAGCAAAACGTGGCCATCCAGATATTTTGGGACTGCAAACTCCAGCATTTCTCACCATGGACTGTGCAGATAGGGGATGATGGGAGCTACAGCTCCCCCAAAAAAACCTTTGATGGCTGCACTTCACCCACACCTGAGAGACTATTGCTCTACACTCTTAAAATGGAGCTAAATTGTTTTAACTGCTCTGGGTGCCTCCTGTTTCATTCTGGAGCTTGTAGTTTAGGAAAGGGAATTTAGAATATTCAGCCAGAGAGCCTTTAAACATCACGAAACTACAAACCCAAAAATGCAACAGGAAGCAGTCAGAGGACTGTTAAAGCAAACTAGCCCCATTTTAAAGAGTGTGATGTGATAAGCTTGCTAGTTTAAAGTCTTTTCTTGCATACACCAAAGAGTAATTAAATATGCACCCATAACCAGAGAGATGGCTGTCTCTGATTAATAGTTACAAAGATCAGTGTGTGTGTGTGGGGGGGGGGTGTTACCTCTCCTCCTTTCAGATATGAAATCTATCAAAGATATAAAAACATGGGCTGGAATCATCTATGGTAGTTATGAATCTGGAGTTAAACACTTGTGACTGTTACATATTCATAGGCCTTCTGTAGCCCCTACTTTAGGGGCTACTGGGGACCATGAAAGTCCCTCCAATCTTACTGGGCAGCAGTCACTGTGGTTGACTGGGATCTGTTCCCCTGTCAATCTGGAAGCAGCTGACTACTGTTGCCACTCCAACTCATGCAAGCAATTAGTGGCATGAGGGAATTGCATTAGGCATCCAACTTCTGCTTTTCGCAGTGGAGATCACTCATGGGAAGGTGCAGAAACGGTGGCCATATTCTTCCTGATGGACAGGGCAACAGACCCCTGTTGATCACAGCCATTACTGCCCAGTCAGTGGGGACTGGGAGGATCAGGCTGTGATTCATTGTGTAGCACTGTCATGGCAATGCTAATGCATACGCATACCCCACACAGGATTCCAGCCATTCCTTTTTAAAGCTTCGGTCCTATGAAGTACTTCTCAAAGGTAAGCCCTAGTATGTTTAGGAGAGCCTGCTTATATGAGTCTGGAACTCAAGCTAAGTAATTGACACTAAACCAGGCAAATGTGAGCTTCCTGATGTCATTGGACTACAAACCCCACAATCCCTTGCTATTTGGGTGTGCTGGCTAGGCCAAAAATATTTGGAAGACCCCAAGTGCCCATCCCTGCTGTAAACAGAACAGAAACCTGTTGTCAGGGGCCCTGATGACAAAGTTGTGACAGCACCCAAATTATTAATAAGCACCAACCTCCTGAAGCAAGTGTTGCCAATCCAGTTTTTGAAGACACTGGTACAAGAGGTTGATTAGGAAAGGCAAATCATGTCTGAATTTCTTCGTATTCAAAGTGATGTTCAAAACAAATAGAGCCTAAGGATTAAAACCAGGAAAAGCTGGTGAAAATAATTAGGGCGCTCACCCCTATACTTGGGATTCCTCGTTCGTCCCACGGTTGACCTGAGTAACAGGAAATGGGAGTCCATGCACTTAGCTCTACTGCCATCGTGAGCATTTATCTACTGTGATTGGCACTGACTCATGGAGCAATGGCCCTTGAGCTGGACTCCTGAAATGTGCTACACTTCCTGCCAGGCAATATGTGTGCAGTGTTTGTCTTCTTTTCAAAAAATCCCACTGACCACACTTGCAACAAATGCAGTCTAATGGCTCTCTTGGAAGAGAGGGTCAGCACACTGCAGCTACGTGATGAGACTCTTCAAAACATCAGAAAACTTGAGGACTTACTGGACAGAACAGAGGAATAATTGATCTTACAGAACAGGAAAAAACTGCTAATGAAATCAAATGGGGCTGCAACACTGAGGGAGCACCCTGGAGGACAGTCACCATCAGGTGCAGACCATACACAAAGGGTTTGCAACCAATACAACTAAGCAATCGCTTCCTTCATCTTCCTGAGGATCACAATGGTGAAGAGATGCAAACAGGAGAGCAGCAGCAAGAGGCACTGCATGCCAGGGAATGAGCCAACCTAATTACCAGCTGTAGCAAGAAGAAAATAAAGATGCTGGTGTTATGGGTTTAATTGTTCAGGGATACAGAGGGAACTGTATGTCAGCCGGAGAAGATGAATTGGGAAGTGTGCTGTCTTCCTGGCACATATATCTGAGATTTCACTGAGAACTTGTAAAAACTCATCAAGAACCCAGAGCAGTACCCCTTTCTCCTGACTCATGTGGGCATCAATGACACTGCAAAGAACATCTTTGATTGAGGAGATCACTTTGGACTATGAAGCCCTGGGCAAGAAAGTTAAGAATTTAGAGGCATAGGTGGCTTTCTTGTCTATTCTATCAGTGAAACATAGAGGACCACACAGGGACAGAAAGATACTACAGGTGAATGACTGGCTACACAGATGGTATCGACAGGAGAAGTTTGGATTCTGGGACCATCGTCTCCCACTTCTTAGATGTAGGACTACTGGCTGCAGATGGATTACACCTCTCAAAGCCACAGTAAAACTTTGCAATACAATAAAAGATGAGAACAAACAACACTTTAGATGTCCATACACCAATGCAGAGTTTTCCAGTTCTTCCAGCACCTAGCATTGCTACTATGATTGTTAGAAGATTGAAGAATGGGTGGCACTGACGTTAATCTTGATATTATCAAGCTACTCCCACACTGTCATGGTCTTACTGTGCTAACAGCACTGGGTAACAGGTTGATCAAGGTGAAGAAACTTGTTTTTTCCTTCCATAGACCATTGATCCACAGGAAGGAGAGAAAGAATGCCTCGTAATTTAGGACATGTGCACAATCTTCAACAGGGAGGGGGAAGCAAGGATATTGCCTTCCCAGAGAAGAATGCTCTCTTCCCAAATGAAATGTTTAATCAGTCCCCACATTTCTAGCATTGTTGTAACTTAAAACTTCAGTTGACATTTAGAAATACATTTTGGACAACTAAAAAAAAAGAAAAAAAAAGAGGGGGAGCAGGCAAAGTTAGCAAGATACCTATTTACTGCACAGCAAATTATAAGGATTTTAAGTGTGAAATTTTGAATGCCCCAGTCTCTGCAACACTAGAAATTTGAGACTGAAGGAAAAATTCATTTGATAAGCAGAGTTCTTATGAAGTTGGGGGCAACACCCTAATTACACACCTGGCAACTTTTTGGCACCCAGAGTCGGCTGTAACCTACTCATATTTCCTATAATCTAGCAGATCAGCTGAGTTGTGTGAGAAAGCCACTAATCCCAGACCTCTAGTAATAGCAAGAAAATGGACCATTGGTAATACATAGTGTGAATGTTTATTCATGGGTGGTGCAGAAGATCAATCCACTCACTTTGAGACATACCCAAAGCTAAGAAACAGAGTGGGCTGGCTGCCAACAATAGCTGCCAGCAACTGCTGATTCAAGTTTGTCTATTTTATAATATTTTTATAACTGATGTTTTACTTAAGTTGTTTTAATGGATTCCAGTTTAATACTTTTTTAGGGGGTGGGCAAGTTTTGAGATTTCAGAATGTACTATTGAGATAAATAATATTGTATGGAATTTTAATTGTTGTAAGCCACCCTGATTGTTCGACAGAGGGGCGGGGTAGAAATAAATATTATTATTATTATTATTATTATTATTATTATTATTATTCACAAATGTAGATATGTTGCTCCATATCTCTTGAAGAGATGTATTTGTAGAAAATGCCACAATGGTGGATATTGATATTTGTGAATGCGTTGAAGCTTTATTTGGGGGTTTTGACCTATTTATATCATACCTCAGAAATATACATTCTCTGAACCATCTTGCTAAAGTAAATTTTTATGCCCATTTATCCACTGATGCCAAACAATGGTCTGAACTGCGTTGGTGGCTTATGCATATTTAAGTTCCCCTATGGAACTTTTTCATTTATGCACAATGTATGCATTGAGCTCAAGGCTGCAGAAAAAGAATTGCATACATGGTTACATGAAGCTGAGGACTAAGTTTTGGCTGCTGTATATCTGTCTGCACCTGTAGAAACTAGTGGTAGTTCAGTGGGCCCTCCACATTCACTGGGCCATTGCGAAAGTGGAAAAACCACAAATAAAGAACCACTATTTTTTTAAAACTGAGAAAAAACCTCTCTAGGAATCTCTAGGTCCTCCAGAACAATATTTGGCCAACACAGAATCACACTGGAGGACCTATCAATGCTGAGAGTTGTGTTTTGTCTAGGAATCTCTATGGACGTTATCACACGTGGGCCAGAAAGCGATAATAAAGT